CACCTTCCAGGTGAAACCTGTCTGCGTCGCGTTCGTTCTCCTCTTCATCAGGGTCCCGGGGAAAGAACCTCTTCATAACTCCCTTCCTCTTCACAGCAAGATCGAGATGGGACTGCGGTGCACCGGCATTGGAGTCGGGGGTCCACAAGTCAACATTCTCCGGCTTGGTAGTGCTAACGGCCCCTGTTGCGGTAGCGCCCGACCCGCGATGAAACGAATCTTGGGTAGCTTCATCCAGGGTGGTGGCTAGCTCGTCACTGGTGAGGTCAGAGGGAGCGTGGATCTCAAGCTGCTCCAAGGCGGGCAGGGGGTCGATGACAGGGAGCTCCAGCTGACGGTGCCCCGTTACGATAGTAAAACCTCTGCTTCTCGCCACTGTACACCTTGCGCCATCCGGCTCTCAGGTGCTGAGCGGTTAACGCACCGGTGCTCACCGCATCGTCGTTTGCTTGAGACGCCGCTGATACTGACGGCTGTACACCAGTCATATCGGTCTTCTTGGTAGTTGCCTTTGCGTGTCCGACCATGTTGGCAATGATGCTCAACTATTTGGTAAACTTTCAGTCTCACTAAATGTGGTTCTCACGGCGGTAGTTCGGGATATGATCTACAGGGTCCACCCAGCGTGGCATTTATATCGCGCAGGGGTGTCGGTGACTTAATGCAAACACCAAAAGATCGCGTACCCATGCGGCACTGATAAATATAGGTTTAACCAATCGTGCCGTACAATGAAGGACTCAATACAATGAAGTTTAGTGAACCCACGCGTTCGAAGTGTTCCTTCCTGGGATGACCATCAAACGCTTTTGTTCCCGAGATAGATACTTTACTAATTTTAGCAGCTTCCCCGTGGGAATTGACGACCGACGCTTTCTAAAACAAAGGAGATCCATTTGCGTTCGTGGACTCCTTTTGTATTCAACACTCCTCGGCCAAGGAAGCCACGCCATCACCCACTCGTACTTGGCCTCAAACAAACAAGCCAACGAATAACAATGCGGCTCGGGTGATCTCCCGCCTCTCGAGGTAAGTTTATCTTATTTCTTTTCTTTCTTCTTCTCTTAATTCAGGGCAACAACGCCCTTATCACTTCCTCGACCGTTGCCGCGGCTACGCCCCCATCGTTCGACCTCTCATCCGCTAATTAGACACACACCTTTGACCTTTTCGTGGCTCACCCACTAACCTTTCGAAACCCGGAAGTCGTGACCCCTTACCTACCTAGTAACCCGGAAGTCGTGACGTCTTACCTACTTACTCGTTACCGGAAGTCAAGGTCAAACTGGTCTATACTAGACCGGAAGTCGGTCAAGGGTCAGGGGTCAAACTGGTCTATACTAACTACCTTTACTACTTCTATCGCTGCATTGCGTTTTTAATAATTATTAATTATCATTATTATGAATGATTTTTTAGTTACTGTAAATAGTTTGCGGTCATTTTGAGAACCATTTAGCGAACATAGTCTCTCGCACAGCGCCCATTTTTCCAAAACAGGTCAGCCACACACTTTTCTACTGCCATGCCATCCAAGCGGGGTTGACACGCGTGTAACCTTTTACTAATTCAAATGATCGTAACAAAGAAACCATAATGTCAGACTGAGTTGAAACTGCGCATTTCTACTGAAAATGGCCGGGAGGCGGAATCCGCCTCCCCCGGCTGTGAGATGGTACAAAAGAAGCCGGCTCCTGTAGGGTCCAGCCTAGGCTATATACGGATATCAAAACTTGGCTTGTGTCCAAAATCAACGGTAATGCCATTTCTCCCCGAGTTAGAAGAAAGACATTATTTCATATGTGAATTTTGTTTCATATTAAGAACATTCATTTCACCTTTTACATTTCTCTTTCGTATATGCACCGGACACAGAAAATTTACATGTTGTCAGTGGCCAATATTGCTAAACCAAATGGCAAAATAGTCGAATGGTATTGTAGCGCAAAAGCGGGCTGCAGCGAGTTAGCAGAGACAGTAGCTGTTATGCAGCGCCCCCAGTCGGCGGACTGTGTGAGCACGAGGGGATATGATCGTGGGGCGTCGTGGAGGACGGACGTGAGTGGATCACTGCTCAACGCCTAGAACGAACGGGAACGAACCGGACGTAAGTGCTGAACTACTGTGAAGGAACGATAGGGTATCGGAAGCTGGGGACGCACTGGGGACCTGTTGGTTATTCCCCGGGGGTATTTGGTCTTTGTGCGGACTGGGGATCCCGGGAGTTCTTGTAGTTGCACTGTGGGCCAGGAGTTCTGGCTGTGCTTTACAGTCTTTTCCTCTACGAAGGTGCCGCCCTTTGATTATTTATTTGATTAAAGAGCTTCTTGCCAATTAGAAAGAGATCAGTAATTAAAAACCTTGTGATTGTTATTCGAAGCCAATAATTAAAGGTGTCAGCGTCCATTACTTCTCTGTCTTTCTGTCCGGTCAGTCCCTTAATGTCCGCCCCTGAAGTCTGTCCTTAAGTGTCCGTCCTGAAGAGATACTGAGCAGCACGTGTTCACGGCATACGGCACTCCAAACGGACTCACCACCTAGGTTTACCTGGATAGCGGCTCCTCTGGGTTCACCGAAGGGCTGGTCGGGCTAGGCCGGAGCGACCTTGGCGAAAGTTGGTCGGCGCCACAGTATGGTGAAACCATAGAGCTATATATAAAACCAGAGCGCTGACAGAGTGATGCCTGCTGGGCGCATCCATGTGTGTGCACAAACCTATGGAAAACTCACACACCCCCCCCCCGAAAACTCGAAAATGTGTACGGCTTTAGCACAGCTATATCTGCATCTGTACTCTTAAACGATACGCCAACAAAGCCGATACGCAAACAACCTGAACGCACAAGTACTATGTGAGCGTTTCATTTTGCTCTGCGCAAAAAAAATGCTTGCTTGTTCCCACGGGAATGATCTTGCCGCGCCATGTTGGTTCCCACCATGCTTTGCGTGATCTAAGGGAACGCTCACGCAGCCCATGGAGTCGAGGGTGGGGGCCGATATCACCCAATGTCCATCCAGTTTCCTCCGGTTTCCTCATGCCTCTAAAACTACACCTTCTTCCTAACTCCGTAATGTGAAGCTAATAAAGGTTACTAATAAACGTATAGATATTGGTGCAAATAGCCTGAGTAGCTGAAAGCGCCATTAAAACAAAATAACAACAACCCAATGTCCACGTGACCAAGACTGGAGGAATTCCTACAGTTTTCCGGAAATAGCCGAAAATATTCCGAAGTCGTCCCGTCTATATTTGGCATGTTCGGATGGTACCGTTGATGTTCGGTTGTTCCCGGCCGGGTAGGTAGGCTAGCTGTTGAACGCAAACTCCTTTATCCCAATGACAGCTGTTGATCCGACAATAGAGCCTAAAAGTTGAGTTGACATCATGCAGTTGTTGTCAGCAAAGGTCAGATAAATCTTTTGTAATTGAAGTAGAATATTGCTTTAGGTTTACTACTTACAAATTATAAGACTGAGTGTTTAAAACATTTTGATCTGTTTTTATTTCGGTTTTTACCGACGGCCTACCAAAAAATTTCAAACTGTAAATATTCAACAGTGTACGAGACTGGCGCATTGCACTGTTCTTCATGTATTTTAGATTTTCGGAAGTGATGGGTCAGGTTTGGCAGGTATTTCTCTTTTAGGTCAGGTGATTTTTCAGTTTCTATAAATTGATATACTAGAAAATATTTTCCAAAGCCCCTTTTCCGAGTTTGATTTTTTGAGAAGTAGGCCTAACTGAACGAAAAAAATTACAAAATTCTAAAATCTTTGCACGTTATTTTTCCTATCCAAGGGTTTTTCAAACGTTTCTTCAAAATGGCGGGAACCAGCGAAACCAAAGTTCAAGTCGAATCAGCTCGTTTCGAAAACGTACATCTCTCTGACTTGAGCATTGCATTTAGGTTTTTTATTTAAATACTTAATTCCATATCCATTCTATCTGATTTTCCGTGTTCTACAAGTACGCACATGGATTCAAAATGTTTGTGCCCAGGACGGCGTCAAATTTTCTCCACGTGGAGAATGAGAAGGTAGCGTTCTAGTTTTTATATACGTGTACAGCTCCGTGGGTGACACTGCACAAAGAAACAGTGAAATTAACCAAACCAACGATGTAGGGCTACCAAAGATGATTGAAACGGGCCACGTTGGTGGGGAGTGTTCATTGTGTTGACGGCGGACACCACCGTACCGGGGTATGGGCCTGAAGCTGAGAAAACCCTTTTTTTTTTTTTTTTTTTTTAGCAACGGAGGCTCGGAACTGAACTTCGCTGAACGGTTATGACATGCACGCGCATAAGTACGGTAGCATAGCTATACCAACGAAAATGAATACCTCAGTGTTATTTTCAACCGATGACGGGGTGCGTCTGCTCTAGGCGGACACATTTAGCTGCATTGCCAATAAAAATTGTTCTGTGTGGAAAGTTCCATCTCGTGAATCTTTAATGGGAGGCCATTGGTGAAGTTTCGTACGGAAGCGTATTGCTGCCAACACGAAAAAATATTTTAAACAACACAGCTATCTCGTTTAAAGACGATATCGTTATCTCGTTATTTCTAATTATGGCAATGTCGTTAAAAACGAGAAAAGAACTTGGTTATTTTGGACCATCCCATAGGAGGGCAAGAAATCGGCTATCCTATCCCATTTTTTAAATTATTTTTTTTATTGTTTGGCGTGCATGTAGCCTAAACACACTCCTATAAAATGTGAAGTTTCAACGTATTTCACTATGGTTTTTATTGTTACGGTCATTTGAAGTTCAAGACCACACGGTAATATTGGAAAACGTTGAGGGGGTGGATCATGATTCCGCCCCGACTCTTCAAGGGTTAATATTCTCCATCTCCGGTTTCATGGCCGTTTTCCGCCTTCAAAGATTTGATTATGCCTGTTTAAATTCGATGGTTTGGTACGTTTGCATTACAGCTGTTTACGCTGTCACGTATTTTTATTTATGTTGACAGCTGCACACGTTTTTTAAACTAACCAGCGGAATGTGCTTTTCGCCAGCCACCCAGACATAGGTCTGTGTTATAGCAGACAGGACAACATGTCCAAGACGCCACTCGGGCTCTCCGTCCAGTTTCCGGTAATCCAGGAATGGCATCTACCAAAGAATTTTCATTACATAAATGACAATAGAAAGTGATTCACACACAAAAAAGGGAAGGCGTTTTTGCAGTGCATCGTTATAGTCGCTACGAACAAAGCAAATACACTGCTTTCCAACATGAAAGGGGAAGGTCTGGAGTGATATGACAAAATGTTGCCGGAATCACACAAACCAGCCGGTAGTTTTCCCCAAAACCTTTGAACTGTGATTTTGTGCAGGATTACAAATGAACTTTCCTTTTACAAACATTATCATTGCATGGTACTGCACATAATAATAACGGAAATGATTTGTAATAATGGAAACTTCTGGCACATTAAAGTAGATAATTGTTTGTAGAATGATGGAACCATAAGTACCGTAGCCTGGTTCCAAGACGTTACTATCTGTGGTCGCGTATTAATGAACACTTTCGCGCAGTAAATTTTGCCAGTCAACAGAGGGCGCTATGTCACCGCCGATAGTGCAAGATTAATATTATCGTACGCTTAGTAACGAATACAGACCATACCATGGGCATTATATCCGTGGACCATATACAGACAAAAATAACTAGGTTATTAATACACGAACACATCTACAGAAAGTAACGACTTGGAACCAAGACTACCCAAACGAGCGAAAACCGTGCCTCTTCTCAGTGGAAACCGCGTAACTCCAGGGATTTGATATGTCCGCAGGGACTTGTGGTATAATGCAACCTTGATATATGTGTGTGTCGAAGTTCAGTAGGTAGATGGATAAAATGAATGATTAACGCAGGACTGGAAGTGGACACTGACAGCCATATACATTGGAAAATGGTATAGTGAATAATAACTACATTGTATTTGAATCACTAATCAGAGAGACGCAGCGCCGTCACGGTAGCCAGGGGTGCACACAAAACCATCAATGATAGTCCTCCTTCGTCAACCTCCTACTGGAAATGTTGGATGCAAAGGACAACACAAGTACAATGTATCATGAAAAATTAATACTGCTACTTGTGTCTTTGCCTGCAACTAGGGATCCCCTATTGTTCCTCTTTTGTTTGTACTTTAACTTTTTTAGAAGACCACCCATATGTTTTGCACACAGTTGTCAATCGGGGACCCTCTGTCAATCGGGGACCTTATTGTCCTCTATTGTTCAGGGTCCCCTATTGCATGCAGAAACAAACTCACACACATGTTTACATACAAAGTGTTGACATTCCTTTGTTCTCCTGTGGTTAAGGAAACTTGAGGAAAATGCTGCTTTTTCTCCAACTCCTTCGAGCTGGATTTTTGATGATGATTTCCTGGACTGTTCCTCTTCATTTTGCCACAGATAACCTTGAAACCCCAAATGCATCTGAAACTTTTTCAGAGAGACGAAGACTTTGTGTGGACGTGTGCGAGACCACACAACGCCATCATACCCTACATGGTAAACTTCTTTTGTGCAGAGGTCCACACTATGTATGCCACGCCTGCACATATCCAGTTCTCCTGCACTCAGCTCCCTGTAGTGAGAATCTGGGCCACGCTGCCAATTGTCAGCCTATTTTTAGATATGGTGCAAACAACAGGAGGCCACTATTTGGTTTGGGTGAAATCTTTTGTGTTTACTCAAAATTTTACCACCTCAAATAGCGCCCTCTTATTGCGTCCGCCATGCTTCAAAAAGGCTGTAGTCCTTACTTGAAAGGGGTCACTGACTGAAAGACACTAGATCTGAATATGCTGTGTGGTTAGGGAACACAGCCACTGCAGTTATAATTCCTGCAACATCAGCAAGGCCACACAACAACTCGTACTATAGACCAGTGAGGAATTGACTGGAATCAATTATTGAAAATATTAACTCTGAATACTTCAATTCAGAAGCTTTCACCTTCTGTTATACTTTGCGAGTTGGGGCTGATCAGTGTTCTTTCATATTAATCATAATTTATTATTTAGGAAAGAATCGTAACAGGGCTTGATAGTTCACCAAAAGAGGTACGGTAGGCCTATGTAGGGGAATCAATTTCAGAAAAAGGTATAGACAGTCCACGGGTTTAAGCCTTGTGCAAGCAGAAAATAATGCGCAATCTTACCAACAGAAATGAATGAATCCATTTCCACTTTTACCTTGGTAACTTCATCTCGGAGTGTCCCATCTTCGACGAGCTCTGGGATTCTTGTGACAATCTTCCACCAGGGGTCAAAGTACTCTGGAAGTTTATGCTGGTAAAGGGATTAAGATACTAATTTTGTGACCTGAAGATAAGACTAATGGTTGACACATATTTTTTTAATTTCAAGGGCAATATGCCAATTATTTACTTTAGAATGTGTTTTTTTAATATATTGTTGCACACTCGCAAATCTAGGAATTCTAGTGCCCCCTAGTTTTACTCGTTCTCGGTCCTTGCATTTCTCAGGGTCTCTTATTTAGCTCAGCTATGCGTTATGGACATGTAGCAGAGACGCTAATTTTGTATTAAGTTATTCATGCTGTACTCTGGCGCGTGTTCCTTCACTCCTTTATCCTTGTGTTTTCTCTGCTCAGTTTTGGCATGTCGAAATTCCCCTCCACGTGGTTGCGTGGTTGGGTGTGGTAATGTTCCCTGAAATGCTAATGTTCAGAAAACTCAGACTTTGTAACTGTCAATCATTCGCTACAGATGACCGGGTAAGCACTTTCACGCACCCGGCTCTACACTTTGTACACGTGACTTCTTATTCTGTATTTTACCATTTTACACACGACACTTAGTTTCTTGCACACGACTCTAGCAGGAAGTCATGTGACCCTTTGAGATGGAAGATTTTCATTGGTTGAGCTGTTCAGCGACGCTCATATTTTATTAATTCCTAAGCCTCTAGAATCCTATAAATACAGTAGATTTTCTTTACCCCGTCGGTCAGGTGCGGTGGACCAAACCCGAGTTGCGAGAGCGGAACCTAACGTATTGCGGCAGTTGGACCCTTTCCGAGAGAAGTGCGATAGTAACCATTCTTATGGCGAAGAAATGTAACAATATGAATGACCAGCTAGCTTAGCTTGGACCGATGCGAGAGCGGTACGAATTAGCCCAGGGTGCTAGTGAGAGTCGTAGCGGCCCGTCACCGCTACGTCCGAACCGATTGCCGGGCGAGACACCCCCGTGTCCCTCGCCGCCCTTGTCCTGCTAACTAGCCCAGTCCTCCCCGTCTCTACGCCGAGCCAACGGTACACAGTGCGGCGATCTTATCATTGCGCTCAACATATTGCGGTCTGAGCGGCAGTGCGGTCGGTACATACCGGCGCTGGCCCCGTCCAGCCTTGCTAGTCACCGTGGTGGTCCGGGACAGCTCCCACCACGGCCCGGCCCGATGAGTGTAGCCTAGCTGGGCGATGCTACGCACACGTACCGTAACCCACTCCGTCTGACTTGCTTTTCCAATGGTCCTGCCAAACCGTAGTTTAGTTACACTCGTATACAATTTCGCCTCTCTATAACTTTGTGTGTTGTATTATGTCAAGCTAAATCTTCTTCAAACCCACATTAAACTTTGATGAAGAGAGTGAGAGCAATAAGCCAACAATACAGTTTGACTGTCACCCAAACCCCGTTTCACGTCCACCTTTTAATAAATTGTCGACCCCAAATATCACATCCCGTAGACACTAATAAAGTCCATGCTACCATCGACTTGATATTTAGGGAACGCAACAAAGTCAATATTTTCAATTCGATCGTTTGATGTGCTATCGCAAGTAAACTTTTGTAAACATTAAAGTACAATGATCTTACCAAAACATTTCAAAACAACAAAAATACTTCTGTAGCTTACACAATTGTAAAGTGGTCATCTGAACATTTTGCCCAAAACGCCCCTGTGATAACTTTGCTCAAATGCTCCCCCCCCCAAAAAAAAATGCATTGAGATTCTTAAATTGTTAAGAATAACTCTGTTTGCATTTGGAAAAACACACATTGAGTTCGCCCATACTTGTTAAGGGCAGCGGCGTAAATTTCTGCCAAAAATTGGGGGCGGGGGGGAGGTGACGAGGATTTGTTGTGGGGGGAGGGGGGTGACTTGCCCGGCCATGGGACTTTGAAAAGCGGGGCGGGGGTGGGGGTGACATCATATGACAATATAGGCCATTACCGAATCTTACATCAGAACGGCATGTACACTGCTTTGTTTATTGTTCTCCTTTTTGAGTGATATTTTCGTCGTTAGGAAGTCCGACAAATTCTTCTTTTTGCTCACTCGCCCCCAGCTAAAAAGTGGACAATACGGATATACCCGCTCCCCGGATTAAAGCCCATAGTTACGGTGTTATGAGGTTATGGGGACTACACATGTAATGAAATGTAGAAGCTTTGGGACCAAAACGGGCAATTTGTTTGTCTCTGTATCAAACTTGGTTCCGTACGGCAGCGTTTAAGGGCCACTTGCAAAAATAATGTTTTGGAGTTACTATCTCGCCGCGCCCCGGCGAGTTATACGATCTTGCCGCGGCGTATATCCCGCTGGGGCGAATATTTCAATAGTTTTATGACTCCTAATCACTGTGTTGTCGTTCTCAGATGTATCATAAGGGTGGAGTGCATTGGGATACTGGGTTTCAGATTGTTTAATTCAGCAAAGCTTGATATCCACCACAAAATAACGGCATAAGAAAATAATTTCATTTTTGGTGTGAATTCATGTACCCGGAAGTAGGGTGCACTACTTTGAATCCCTGGTAGACTGCTGTAGAAAGGATTACATTGCCTTTTCATTAAGACCAAAATAATCATATTTATGTTTAAGCCACCCAAAAAATGAATTAAAGGAAAACAGCCAAAGAAATAAAAATTGAAATGATACAGTATGAAAATTTTCTTGAAAAAAAAGAAATGTTACTCCCGTTCCCCTGCCGAAAAAATCCAGGCGACACCCATGGAAATGTTTATCCAATGTGTGTTGCCGTTCAGACCAATCCAGATGTTGATACCGTTGCTGTGATTTTGGAGATTTCAACAGGTAAAAAGGAAAACTGAAAAGAAGGTGAAAAGGGAGACTATTCAAAAGTTTTCAGCAAGCGATTGCAACCCCCAGACACAAACCGCCCATAGAGTGCAGGGTGCTGGGTCGAATGCTTTAATATTTCAAGTTCATTTAACATTTGAACACAGGTCGACACTTCCTGGTGCGCATGATGTGTGCCCTGAAAATACTAAGTAACTTCAAAATACTTTTAGCGTTCAAAGCTGTGAGGTATTTTGTGCGTTGCATTTGTAAAAGGTCTGTTGTTCTTCTTCATGTCAGTACTATAAATTAATAAATTTTAATTATTGAAGTTTAAATGTAACTTTGAAGTCCGCTTGTTTCTGATTGGTACTTGGAAAAATGTAGTAAGGAATTAAAACCAGTCTACTGCACATTTGAATGGAAATTCACACCCCAAAGTGAGATTTCTTTTCTTCCGTTCGTGTTGGAAACCAAGCTTTGTTGGAATGTAACATCTCCTTTTGTACCAAGCATTCTAAAACCAAACGTAATTATTGCATATCACCATGAGGATACCTTTATTTTCAAACCACACGGCAAGCTTAATAGGACTTATGAAACTTTTGAAATGTCCGCCAGCTGCAGTGGAATATCAATTTTATGCAGCAGCAAGATCGTATGACTCGCCACGGCGAGATAGACATTCAACGATGTAATCATCGCGCTGTACATGTACGTCGCCGCGACGAGATAGTAAGTGGAAAGAAAAATTTTGCAAGTGGCCCTTATACGCTTCCGTAGTTCCGAATCCCCCCCCCAAAAAAAGAAAATTGTCTCGTTAACACAGTGAAGATCTCGGCACACATTTACGTCACCTACTTAGTGTGGAGATTCCTTTCTTTTCTATAGTAAAAAATAGTGGTGAAAATAGTCAATTTCCTTGTGCTATGAATACTCCGTTATGCTGGATTTTCGTTGGACAGGTGGTTTCCATGCACGTTTCTCTTCCTTTGCTATGATATTCTAGCCACCAAATACCTCTAAAACTATTTTCCACCTTGTGTGGACGTGCTGGGACCACATGTACAGTGGTTTGCACAATCTATAGGCCTAATTTTGTGGACTTTTTTCTTCATGACTGTGTCCACACTCTTACGCCAGGTTGGCGCACAAACATAGACCTGATATTCATTATTTTTGTTATTTTGTTTTTCATTATCAATTAGATGAAACTATACTTTTTTTACTTTTTGTACAAGATATTCCTCTAACCACCAATTACAATTACCAAAGCACCAAAACAATCAATGAAATCGGGCAGCGTTTTTTCTAGGTTCAAGCACAACTCGGTTCGTTGTTCATGAGTCGGGCACTGAAGTGTCGATCAGCATGCAACATAGAGGCGTCCATGTACGACGGTTATTCAAGGGTTCATGTTTAAATTTCTAGGCTAAAATTTCTAGGCTACAACCCTTCCCATTAAAAAAAAAGAACATGTCTCTGTGTCATGGAAAATTGTTAATGCTAATTGTACAAAACCCGTCCATAGTCTCTGGCTTTGTCGGCCATCTCGCTATTTTGGTATATTTTGGTTTATACTACATGTATTTCGTGTATAGCAATCCACTGCCAAATGATCACAAAGAATTTGGTCGAAAGCCATCTACATATTTTTACCAATTTTGTGGCAATTCCTACTTCCAGGACCCTGTTCCTATGTATGTGTCTCCAACTGCAGAAACGTGTGAAAACTGAACATTTACTGGTAATTTCCTCCCTAAAATCTCTTCACTTTTGTAAAAGGAAGACTTCCCTTGGCTGAAAAGGTAAGGTTTGGGCCGGTACACAACTTCTTAGAATTTTTGAGTTGAGTTAACAAAATATAGGGGTGTTTAACCCTAACTCCTAGAGTGTATCATATTGCAATCATGAGACCGATTGCACCCGCTAAATCGCGTGACCTATAGTGGGTTTTAACCCCATAGCAATGTGCGTTTTGAGTGTTGCTTACAAATAATACAGCCAAGTTACGGTATACTACCCAGCACCCAGTAGACTGAGTTCGGTACCTAAATACCTGTTTTATTTTGGGTAACACTTTGCTTTTGGTGTACGCCGTGTTTGTTGACATTTGATACTCACCATAGGTCGCGTGACTGACTTAGCAGGTGCAACCGGTCTATTACAGGATTGAGAACTGTTAGGGTCAAGTGAGGACGACAGCCTGAGCAATTTTGTGAGGGGGAATCTGTAATAACTCTGGACTGGTTGATGTTGAATGAAATACTCCTCGTTTTGTAGCAAATTTCGTTCTCTTTGAGGAAATATCAAACCTTTCAAATAAAAAAGAGTTTTCAAAATGGTGAATTAATGCATAACCTACCCGAAGATTGGTGAATAACCTGTGAAAGACTTAACTTCCACAACGATCATCAGAGCACGCAAATTGCACCCACCAATTTATTTTTGCCAGCGCTGGTTTGCGCAAAGGTGAAAAATTTTGTATGGTCCCTATACGCTTCTGTACTTACCAAGGGATTCTCTCTCATGAAGCCTAGTGTGGGAGACACACTGTAATCTTGCAGTCGAGGAATCGAACCTTGTAAATTCAGATTCAAGAAGTCCTTGTTTGGAGCAGCCATGATCCAAGATACCTTTGCCAGAAGTATGAGGTTCGTCCTTTGCCAAGGATGAATATAAACGTTCGTGCGTTCTGCCTACACCTTTTTGGCCTTGGACTTATGTTGGTTCAATGATCAATTATAGGCGACGTCACCGCTGTTTCCGTGTTAACGGGGAACACCGGTTGTGCGCATGCGTCATTTTTTGACGAGTACAGGCAAGTTGCATAATTCATGAATCTTGACCCATTTTGTTAACACTGCCTAAAAGTCATGATAATACTGAATATTCACGATTTTGATGAAAGTTTTCGACCACTCTGACACGTTTACACGTTTTACTGACAAGTGCAACAGCAGAAGCGAACTGAAATGGATTTCTTAAGCGCGAAATTTAAAGCTAGA